AGTTCGGATAGGCCTCCAACTTTCAATTGGTTTAACAAGAAAAACCTCTCCAGTAGCCTCAATATTTCCTAGATACTCCTCATCCATCTTAACCATTTGCAGCACTCGATGATCTAGGAGAAGTCCAATACAATAAGCTGTAGGGTAACTTGAAAGGCTAACTTTAAGTCCATAATTGAGCTCTGCCAATTCAATTCAATTGGCTCGAAAAGCCAAGGTTATTAAGCAAATCTCCTCAGATTTCTATGGGCTGAGGCTAGCTTGTATGGCTGCATAGACCTTCTGGAACATCTCCATAAGGCCAGCTGCTTCAAGACCCTTCTTGATGTGCTAGCTAAAGTGGGGCTAGTATTTCCTATGCTTGTCTTCCATCAAAGTTCTCACGGATGCAGCAGCGTGGCTTTAAAGATGCATTTGCAATGGACCTCAACATTAAGTTATTTACTCTCTTTGCAAAATCCAACGAACAATCAATGACCCCTTGAGGGCCCCAAACCCTAGGATAGAACTCTTCTAGGGTCAGACCTCAGTGACCCAATAACTCATTAGTTCCACAGCTCTTTAGAAGCTCTTGCCAAATTTGCTTCTTTGCGTGAGATCTCAACACCAATTTTGCTTTAAGGAGAGCTGTGCACTCCTCAAAGCCAGGGGCAAGGGGAGTATAGAATAATAAAGGGGAGTATAAAAAAATTTAGATACACAAAAATTACAGTGATTCAGAGAGCAGATCAGATTATATTAAGCAATTATAGAAACAATGTGTATTCAACAGTTACTTCAGTAACTTAGGAAGGTAGCATAGATGTATATTAAAAGGCATGTAGGTACACTTCCCAGCAAAAGTTTAAAAAAAAAGAGAGGGAGAAAAAGGAGAGTCTTAAGTCTCTGTAGTAGGAGCAGGAGAAGGAGAGCCTAGCAGCTTAGTAGTAGACAATTCTGGCAGATCAGAAGATAAAGCCTTTGGAAGGGCAGCAGTTGATGTTCCTGGTGGATCAACAGTTGAAGCCCCCATAAGCCCTGAAGTAGGCAAGGGAGGAGAAGTTTCAGGGGTCCCAGAAACAGGAACCTCAAATGATAGCGAACTTAAGGTTAGAGCCCTAGAAACAAGATCAGCTGAGAAAGGGGAAGCAACAGAAACAACAGAAGAGACTACGGGAACCAAATCTACTTCAGGAAGGAGAGCTGCAGAAGTGATTTCAAGTTGAGGAACACCTTGATCCATGACCTCAGCAGGCATAGTAGAATTTGAAACACAACTAGATGGAACTTCATCAGCAGGGGATTCCAAGGCGCTGCCTTTGCCCTCTGTTGTGATTCCTTCTGCCTCCTCCTCAGGAGGGATGTCAAAATCAAAGTCTAGACCAGGGTATATTTTTTCAGCTAGGTCTTGAAAAACAAGCCATCTAGTGACCCACTTCATAGAAACATCATCCCTTAGCTTGGTTATTGTATCATCCTTCTAGATAATGGTGGTCTCCTTCTCCTCAAGCTCTTTGCGGATGACATCGTTCACCTCTGACATGTTGTCATACTCCTTTTTCATGCTCTTGAAAGAGCGTAGAGCATTGAGGATTTCCTCACAAGCTTTGACCAAAGCATCATTCTTAAGCTTAAGCTCATTTCTGATCTTCTTCTTCTCATTTTTAGCCCTCTCCTTCCCTGCCTCTAGATCTCGGATAATAGAGACTTGCCTTTCCACCTATTTTTGAAGGTCCTAGTTCTGAATGCAAAGATCCTCATTAATAAAAGACAGTTCAATAACTTTGACCTCGTAGGCCTTCGTAACCTTGGTTGAGCCCTCCAAAAATTGGATCTTGCCCATCAAACCCTTTACGTGGAGGCCTAGCTGGGAGTAGGTAGAAAGAAAACAAAGGTCAACATCAGTTTGTAGCATACAAAAGAAAAGAAAAAAAAGGAGAGAGATAAATATTTATAACAGTTACTCCATGGAGAGCTAAGCTGATAGAAATCTCAAGAGGCATGGAGGAGGCTCTTTGAATGTCATATTCAGGAAGAATAGAGCTAATGGCCCCAACAGCGAGCTCGATATTGTCAAAAAAGGAGCCCTGGTCATTTTCCACTTTGGGGAGTTTCCCCTTCTTAATTCTGGAGCTTGTATGGTGTGACAAGGGGAAACTTCTCAATTGACGCTGGAGAGCTGGAGGCTGGCAGTACATGGGTAATCATCCCCAAGGCCCTGTCAACCTCAAAAGAAGAGGGGGAGGTCTGCCCTTGCTCAAGGACCTCGCTGGGAGCAAGAGGATCGTCTTCTACGACTTGTGGAGTGGGCGAAGGTTGACTGATTAAGGTTTGAGTTGAAACATGAGAGCTAGGGGGCACACTCGTCTTCGGTATCTTGGCTAGAGGAACAATTTCACTGCCAGAGCCAACCTCAGCCTTCTGTTTGCCACCATTCCTAGTCTTTTTTTATTGAGAAAGTTTAGCTTAGAGCTTTATTGCAGAAGACTTCATCGCAGAAAAACCTAACTACCTACCTCCTCCGTGCAGAAAAACCTAAACCTAACTATATAAGCAAGGTGCAAGAAGAAAGGGGAGAAGCCAGAGATGGAAAGGTCAGGGTATTACTAACTACCTCCTCTGCGCTAACAACAGAGAGGGGAATCGGGGATTCTATCGTTACCTTTGGGAGACTAAACCCTTGCGTTACGAGAACCCAAGGTTTGATGAGCTCGAAGTACCTTTCTGAATTACAACCCTTTAAGGACAACAAAACCTATTTATTTGTAGCCCTGAGTTCAGGTCGAATACTTTAGAAGTAGAATAAGAAAATCAAAAAGAGGTCAGCACAAAAAGCCATCAAAGCTGATCTTAGCTCACTTAGACAATGGCATACCCAAGTTATCAGGGGCTTTCCAGGCCCGAGGGATGAGAAGAGGATCTGAGATGTCTGCAGGATTGTATTCCCATTGATTGTACCCCACGAAAAAGAAAAGTTTTTTCTAGCCCTTGTGGGAGCTTGAGAGGTTAGAGATGATCACTTTGGCTTTAACTCGTTTGAAAATATACAAGAAACCATCGAAAGGGGTGTACTTAACATTAAAATACTCCATAAGCAAAGAGACAGTGGGAACCCCAAGTTTATATTTCCTAAAGAAAACAAGAAGACCCACCAAAAGACCCTAGAAGTTGGGGGAGAGCTAAGCAAGGTAGACGTTAAAGTGTTGCAAAATATTCTTGATAAATGGGTGCATGGGAAAGCGAAGGCGGTTCTCAAAGGTAGCCACAAAAAAATAGACCTTCTTGTGAACCAAAGAGACGTATGAGGTGAATTTATCTAGGTGCCAGTATTGGACACCAAAAGAAAAGCCAAAACGAGCACTAATAATTTTCACGAGGGAAGGAGAGACCTCACTAGAGCCCATTAGTTCTGCAGTTCTAAAAGCAGCCCCTGCATCCTCAGCGTTGCCTGAGATTCCAACGCCACTCACTTTGACCTTACCTTTGTTAGGGTTTTCGGGCATAGGGGAGGCTGATGGGGGAATTTTTTTAGTTTTTCCCTCGGCATCAATAGAATCAACACTGGAGAATTTGTCAATCTCCTCACCCACATCACCTAAATCGAAATCCTCCTCAGCGGACCTGTTCCCAGAAGAGAAACAGAGGAGGGGGTAGCTTCGGAAGAGGCAGACAAAACTAGCCAGGAGAAAGGAAGTTTAAAAGATTTGTAAAGAAGAAGAACCTTTGAAAAACACTCCTTAAGGGTCAAGGGCAAAACTCCAGTGACCAATGATGAATATTCTAGCGGTAGAGTAAGGATCTAAGAAAAGGGGAAGACGAAACAAAGAAAAGCCTCGATTCTTAAAGTAGCAGAATCGAAAGGTCTAGAAATGCAATAATCATCTCAAATTTGAGGGATCTAGAACGAAGAAATGTGTAAGGGACAAGAAACATACCTAATCAAGGGTGGATGACAGACCAAAATTTCCTCACTGAAAAATAAAGAGCAAGCCTCACAAGCCAATTGGAGAAATGATGAGATTCAACAAAACCCTAAAATCTTTAGTGGAGTGGGGAAACAGGGGATATGCAAGAAAGGAGAAGAGCCTAGGAAGAGAATTAAAAGAGCGAAGTAAGGACCGTTCCCCCTCAACTCAGTGGCATTTAAAGTTAACGGTACTAAGTGGACGTGCACGGGAATCAAGGAGAACATGATTGTTGGGAACCGTCAAAAGGAACCCTTTGGATGCGCAAATCGAGGTCGACGCATGATACAGACCAGCTTTAGTGCAGCTCAGTCCCTGTCCAAGCCAGCTTGAACCAATGGCTGGGGGGGCAACTGATGATACATGAATAAGAATTTTAACTAAGTATGAGCACGAGAAGCGAGGTCAAACAAGGAGGTTAGACAAAGAGGTCAGACAGGAAGCTCAGAGCTTTGAAGCCCAATTCCCGAGCTCCTCTCTGATGAGACATCAGAGGAGCCAAGGAAAGAACAGTTGGTTAGTAGCCCACAGAACAGCTAAAGGGTAGTGATCAAGGCGTGAAACTCTCAACCACCCGAGATTCCCTCCTGAAATCAAGGAAAGTCCCGCAGATGAAGAGCAAAGATCTAGCTGCAGATCCCTTGGAGATACAAACTGTGTTATAAATACTGTACAGTGTCTCTTTGAGAGGCAAGAAAAACCTAATACCATAGATGATACTTTGTAAATCATATCCACCGTGAATAAAAATAAAAAGAGCAGGAAACTCTCTTAAATAGTGAATTAGTTGGGCTCTAAAGTCGGTTAACTACTGTAGTTATTCTGTGTTTTATTTTCAAGATTCCTTAAAAAAAAACCTTGTCATTGTTTGCACAAGTCTTTTAGCTCAGACCCACACTTGTTCGTATGATCCACAAGTTCAGCTCATCTCTTTGACCACACCATCAAACTCATTTTTCAAATGAATTTAAAAAAGACACACTTAACTTAAAAGACCTGAAAACAAGGTATACCTAAATCGAAGTTAAATAGTTCGACTCGATAAATAGCTCGGCCTGTTATGACGTGCACTCTATTTATTGGCGCAAACCTCGGGCGGCCCAATAAACCCAAAACACCGTCTTGCAAGAACCCTAGCTCCATTTCAGAGCTCGAAACACTCATCCATGGCGTCCTCTCAATCTCTCCCTCTTCACACCCCTCCCTTTTCCTCTGTACACCGCTTTCTTCCCACTACAAAACGTATTTTCCTCCCTAAAATACCCCTCAGAACCATTGGAAATTCCCTCCCTGTCCTTGCTTACTCAGCTAAGCCGTCTATATCGGCTTCCGAGCAAGACATACTTCAAGCCGTTGCGAACTCAGGGGACAAGAGTCTTCCAGGTGTGAGGACGTACGAGAATGATTTGGCTCGGCTCACGCTGGTCGGAGCTGTCGATTTTGAGCAGGCTCTCACGGCGGCTGCGGCGGACGGAGGTGAAGCCGCCGCAGAGCACGTTGATTCCGGAATGGATGCTATGGTTGTTGAGACTGTCTTTCCAGGACCTCTGGATGAGCACAGCACCGTCTCGACTCGACTGGTCAGTTCATTTTCTGCTTCTTTAAGCTTATATATGTGCGGTTGTGTGTGTGGTCGAAATATGCGGTGAAATTTGGAGAAAAATGCCTCTTTTAAGTTAATTTGGTTAACTCGGTGAAAATTAGGCTGAATTTGTAGTGAATATGGCCAAAGATTTGTGAATTTTAGACCGGACATTAGTATTATGGGATTTTGAATTTTGGAAAAATTGAACTCCGAGGAATGCCCATGAGCTTTAGCTGTTGATTATATATGTGTGTGGATGACAATTATTTTTTATTGGAGAATGGATATTATCTGAAGCTTGATGTTTTGACAGTTTTTGCCGGCAAGGAAAGTTAAAGAAAAAGCAAAAAAGCTCAAAAGTTCTCTAACTGAAGATATCCTGTTCAGCACAACATCTAAAAATATTCTTGCTATGACATTTAGACAAGTAGTTCTCCAACAGCTTTGGAATTTTGAGCTGGTATTATTTAGACCTGGAACAGAAAGAAACATGGATGATCTGGAAAACCCAAGAGAGGTTAGATGTGCTCTCACTTTTGTATGTGTTTATTTTCTTGCAGATGCTTATCAGATTTGATATGTCTGTCCTGCAGGTGCCACTTGATACTGATAGGTTGAGTTCTCTTATTCCTTTCATATCGGCAGGTTCCTCCGTCTTTTACCCTCAGCTCCTCGGATGAACGGGTCATTTCTGTGCTTGCAGAAGTTGTTTGCCTTTTTGCTCTTGAAAGCACCGAAAGACTTTTCCTTAAAAAGTCATCGGGCAGATCAAATAATTTGTTCAATTGGTTTGACAAGCCTAAAAGGATTGTATCGAAAGATTCCTCTGTTAGCTTATATAAATTGCTTGAAGATGAGGTGGTTGCAAATGCCAGAAGTCTGCTGGAAAATTTTAATTTAGAAAAGGCAGATTATAATCCTGTAGAAGCAAAATGGAAACACAATTGGTGGATTACATCTGTTCACTCTAAATTGGAAAAGATTGGTGGTCCTGAATTTAGTGCTTGGACTAGCGAGTATATACCTGCCTACAGGCTGCAAATTGATTCTAATAGACTTGACAATGCAAACGTTGAAGGGTGGAAAAGATGTGCCGAGAATAGGTGGGAAGTTCTACTTACCCACTCCCAAATGGTACTCGAATCTTTCCTCTGTTTTTGGACTTCCGTAGTTAGTTTCTCAAGGGAATCCCACAATTATACGAGGTTCATACAATCAGGGCAGTCTTGTTTTATTTCACAGTAGCATATCGTATATCTGATACTGAATATTGTTGAAAATAGAAGCTGTCGAAGAATCATTATGTCTCTTATTTCCTCTTTTTATTGATGACATGTTGTGTTTTGACTATGTTGTCGATGGGTTTGAGTAGTTGTGACAATGATGGTTTTGTCAAGTGCTGCATGGTTAGACTGTTGTCATGTAACCACAGAAGAAGCTTAGTTGGTCTTTTGAACTGATTACTTTCTAAGCTCTTTGACCACTCTATTGGACCAATTGGTTGTTCGTCTGTCTAATGGCATAACATAAGTAAGACCTTCATTCTTGTGTTGTACTCGTGGTGATTTTTCAACTGTCATGGGCAAAGGCATTCAGCAGTTAGGTTTTTGGTGGTATATGCAGTTTTTATCATGTTTGGAGTAGGTAGACAAAAGAAATTTATAATTGAAGAGACATCTTAGCCAGTACTTTTAAGCAGACCTTTGTCAGAATGTTTTTTGATTAGAAGGAGACATTACAGAAAGTGTGTTGTGATTCCCACTTTTTAACCTTAGGGAAGCTTGATTGCTGCTCTTTCACCCACATGTGATCTCCCCAAGCATAAGGTTTAAATATGTTCTTATAATTTCTGATGTTGAGGCGGCTATCTAATGTTATTGAAACTAAGGATGTGTTGTTGAGTTGAGGGTGCACTGCATATATGTACATCACCTGTTCAGCCGGAGGGAAAACAAAAAGAAAGATAGAAATGTTCAATGTCAATGACATAAATCAATTTTCTCTGGTGTCGCAATGTTCAATTTAAATTGAAGTCTTATCTAGTAAAGTATTATGGACTTGATAATTATTTGATCAAACTTAATTAATAATTTTGATTTTTTATGCACTTTTAATTTTGTTCCAATGCTGTCATTATACAGATTTAGAGTGATTGTAGTATCTAATGAATTGATGATTCTCTGTATTTTCTCATTCAATATGTTTGCAGGTTGGTTTGGCCAACGTTCTAGACATGTACTATGAAGATCTGTTCACACTGCCAAATAAAGAATTGTTATGTGGTGTGGAGGCGAAAGCTACCAACTTGTCCATTAACAAGGTACTTGTCTGCATGTATGCTCCTTTACTTTTTATTTGTTCTTTGCGGTTAATTTTTATTATCACGCACTTGGAAGTTAGGAATGATTCCAATATCCCATGTCCATTTTCTTTGTTTTTCTGTATCTTATTATAATATCCACTTCTCTTCTTTTCCTCCTCAATTTACTTTTAGTTACTTGAGTCGTAGACCCTTTGTTGTATTGAGTGTTTGAGTTTATGTTGATTTGTTCCATTTGTTACAGAGAAGCACTTCCTTGTTTAAAATGCTGTCCATCACCCTTGCAAGTGGATTTTTTCTTGTTACGGTTGGTGTTCTAGGTCAACTTTATTTGCCTCATTTGTTCAGTGGAAGGAAGAACCCTCAAGATAACCATTCACTTCAATCTTCTGTCGTGGAATGTATACATCAATCTGTGGACTCCACTAAGGTATGAATACATTGCAAACCCCATAGCTTTCTACTAATACACTTCTTTTCTTGTGTGTTATTTTGGTTGTATAAGTTGCTTAGGTGCCTGATATGTCTGACGTTTTAGAATTGTTAAGCTTACAGTCAAAGTTCCTAAAAGTAAAGTCTTATAGTTCAGATTCCAAGTCAAGTGTCTTGCCACGTAGAGTTTTGAATATTGGCTTGTGTATTTTGTGACAAGTTTGATGGGGGTTTTGTAAGGATTAAATTTAGTGTTCTTGGTATCCTTAGATTGCATGGTAACCTAGGTTAATAGGCTTCTAGGTTATGATCCTACATATGTTGATATGTTTGCTTTTTTTTTTTAATAGTGGGTGTAATAATATTTTGTTTTTTTGTTAGTGTTAATACCTCTGAGATTCCATGCATGAGATGACGTGTTCATATGTGTTTTATATGATATACTCATGCTCGAAATACAAAAGGAAGTGACGAAAAACTGCTATCAAGCATCAAACCTGCTCATGTCTAATGCTTGTTTTTCATACCTTGTAGTTGGAAGATCTGTGCATCTCAGTGGTTCAAAAAATTAAGGATGGTTTTGGTTGGCCTGGGGAAATAATGACAGAACCCGGTGGTGGTGCATGGACTGGGGAAGTTCCAAGATACCTTAGGGTAGATGAAGCTGATACTAGTGTTGCAGACATTTTATATGCTTCTGCTCCATCAGAAAAAAGTGATGAAGAGATGAAAGCATCCGCACAAGACATTGCAAGTTATCAGGTAATTTGGCTGGTTTACACACTGAATTACTTTGTTTCCTTTTCTCTTGCACTAGAATGGCATGACAGCATGTATATTGAAAAAATTGAGAAGATGATACTAGAAGAAGGCAGCCCTATCCTTGATACTTTTTTTGAGTACCATGATGCAAGGGTCACAATGAGACAACTTTATTGTTATGCAAAGGCCCGTTCTCTAGAACTAGAAGTAAATACTAAAGCCAAAAATAAAAGATTGATTCAAGAGGTTCCATTTGGTTTTCTGTGTATTCCTTCATGCATTTTCTTGCAGAGCCTAGTGAAGATGGGAAATGTCCTCAAATTACTTTACAGTAACTGAATGCTTTGATGCTTTCAGTATAATGACTTCCAAAACATATCTTCCTTTCTTAAGACATTGATATGTGCTGATGTGGTTTCCATGAGTTATTGGTTTTACATATGGGCCAAGTATTTAGCCACTGATAAGGTCAGAATTTGATTTCCACACTTCCTTAAAATCTCTCCTCCCCCCCCCACCCCCTGTGCCCGCGCGCGCATATATATACACATACATATAGATGTATATGTATACCGTATATAAGTGTATATATACACATGCTCATTGACATATGTAGATGTATCTATATATATTTATGCATTTGAGTAGTTGGGGTGATTTCCTTTCTCAAAATGTGATTTTTGTTGCTACTATATGTAACGCAGTGTTGCAACTGATGTCATATATCCTCCATGCATTGTGATTATGCTTTTTCACCCTGCCTTGTGTTAATTTTCTTTTCTGTCTTCGTGACTGAATTTTAGGTGGTTCTGTCGGTTGATGGAAAGATTATTGGGTTCCAACCTACAAGTCGTGGGGCTGTCAATAACTGGTCAGCCAACCCCCTGGCAAAAGAGCTGTATAGTGGCAGAAAACTTTCCCCTGGTACAGCCCACTATAATCTTCTATTTCCATGTTATGCCCCGTGACTAGGTTTATAGTTAACATTGCGGATTTTCTCAAGCAGGCTTTATAGAACCTAGACTCAACATCAGTCATCCAAGGGAGGTGGTGGCATTGGAGTTGTTAATGTCCGTAAATCCTGATTCTTATTTTGCGTTGGCCAGACCAGTTGAATTATCACTGCCAAAAACCGTTGGTGAAAACTAGAACACAGCCTGTGGATGCCACCTTGGGTAAGTTTGATATTATTTAGCAGGACATTAGATATTTTCACATGTAGATTTTCTTGGTTAATTTCCTAGCCCCAACTTGTATTTGAAATATTAATACAGACCGTTTTTAATATTTTCTGGTTCTTATGCTCAAGTGTTTATGATGGATAACAATATATGTTGTCAACCGTGGATCTAGGGGGAAGTTGGTGTTTATGGATCTTGGGGCGGAGCAAGCGAGAGAATTTTCAATACACGGTGATACTATGTCAGCATTGATTATATGATATCACTAACTAATAATAAAATTTCAAATAGATAAAGTAAATTTTACTTACGTAGTTATTGACTTACATGAAAGAATAATGTGTAGATATCTACCTATATAAATGGGTAATTAGTTAGTGGTTTTTGTGAGGTCCATTTCCTTATTTGTCAACATATTATTAATTGATGATATCATATGGTTATATTGACTTGATATTAGCGTTGCAAAGAATATTTTTCCGGGCAAGGAGGTGTGAACCTCGACCCACAATAATAGAAACTAGAGGAGAAAGTGTAAGAATGATTTGTTGCAGCTGTTTTGCAATTACTATTTAGTGATATTTTGGCTTGCCTTATCTTCCATTGAAAAGTGTAAGATTTATATGTTTGTATAGTATTTCTCGTTTTGGGTTATGTTATTTCGGGTTTGTGACGAATATTAGTTAATTTTAACTTAACACGTTTAACTAATTATGTTGTGTCGACTTGATTTATTTATTTTCGTATCACATTCGTGTTGACGTATATAACTTGTAAATAAAAAATTTAATCCTCGTATTTAAGTCTAAAATTTTATTATCGCTTAATTGAACTTGTGTTTATATTTTTTCTATAAACTAAAAATTAATTTAATGAATATAATAAAAAAATGAGTAAAAATAATTTTTTTGTATAAGAATTATGTTACTACTTGATAAAATGTAATAAAAAATTAATATTTTATTCTTATAATACTAGTTAGATGTGTTAATTTTGTGTTTATATTTGACATTAACATAACTCATTTATTATTCGTATTAATGGATCGTGTTATTTACTGGTTTCTATTGAGAAATAACCAAATCTAACCCATTAATTGTGTCAATTTTGAATTATATTTTTGTGTCGTGTGCAAAATTGTCACCTCTAATTTTGTGTGCTAATAAACATTTTCCAATGCCATCTTATATTCAGCATTATGTGACAGAAAGATCATCCTTGTGCATAGTTATTAGAATTAGAGGTGTTAATCGAGTTGAGTTTTACGAGGTTAAGCTTGAGTCTGGCTTATAAACAAGCTTAAAAATTTGTTCAAGTTTGACTTGTTTAGAATTCGAGTCAAATTCAAGATCAAATAGCTTGATTAATTTACATATAAATGAGTTGAGTTTTGTGAGTTTGAGTTGAGTCTAAAAAATTATTTAAATTTAACTTGTTTAGAATACAAGTCGAGTTCGAATTGAATTTTATTCAAGAGAGTTGGAGTAATTCGTCTCGATATTTGAAAACTTTAGGGGGTTAAAGTGTCATTACATCTTTGTCTCAAGAGAAAGTCATTGGCAGACCGACAAAGGAAGGCTCTTGTCTTATAGCTTTTTGGCTCATGGATATCAGTTGACAACGTGACTTTGAACATTGGTTGCTGATGTCTCTTGTGATTGTCAAGACCTTCACGCGGCATTTCAACGGGCAGGTTTCTTCGGGTCAATTTATATACATTTTAACTAATTTTTTTTTCAATTCAAGACAAATCATCTATGTTAGGACTAGAATATTCATGAGGGATAAATCTTCATAACTTAACCATGAGAGATTGTCAACATTTGAACTTAAGACGTCTAGAATTATAGTTCGTCTATGTTATTACTTGAACTATTCATTTGAGGACGAAGAACTATCCATATGTGTGAATATTGTTATNTGTGTGCAAAATACTCACCTCTAATTTTGATGTCTCTTGTGATTGTCAAGACCTTCACGCGGCAGAACAACTGTCCACGTCGTTTTTTTTTTCAACGGGCAGGTTTCTTCGGGTCAATTTATACACATTTTAACTAATTTTTTTTTCAATTCGGTTTAAGACAAATCATCTATGTTAGGACTAGAATATTCACGAGGGATAAATTCTCATAACTTAACCATGAGAGATTGTCAATATTCGAATTTAAGACGTCTAGATTTATAGTTGGTCTATGTTTTTACTTGAACTATTCATTTGAGGACGAAGAACTATCCATATGTGTGAATATTGTTATCACACTCATCGCATATCATAGTGATGATGTATGTCTGGATTTTACTGTTTTGTTTCATTCATATGGTAGCCCAAATATTGGGATAATTCACTACTTAATACGATGAAAGTTACACCGACTAGACTAAAACTTTCGAAAAAATCTCATATAAAAACTTGTTAACCTCGTGACATCTACAGAGTTAGGTGTGCCTCATGATTTCATGTCCTCCAAAAACTTTCAATCAACCTCCAAAAGAAAGACGGTTCCCATCAAGGTTCTTACCATCTTAGGAAATAAGTTGTATTGATTTTCCTTTCTATAAATATGAACTCATCATGTTGATTTTCCAAATAGTACCAAGAGTTTCTATAGATTTCAGCCCTTGTGTTTGTTCAATTCCTCTCAATTATAGGCGGCATAAATGGCTGACAAAACCTTCCACATAGTAATGTATCCATGGTTTGCCATGGGACATCTCACAGCATTTGTTCATATCTCCAACAAACTTGCAGAGAGAGGGCATAGAATCTCCTTCTTCATCCCCACCAAAACACAATCCAAGTTANCATATCTCCAACAAGCTTGGCGGCCTGTTAGAATAGGGAAATGCTGCAGAACAAACCTTATTTTCAGAAGTGTATTAAATTTAGGAATTTTTGCACTTTGCACCCCGAAAGGTATCTCGATTCCCATTTTATACCCTGAAAAATTATTATTTTTATATTATACCTGAATATCATAAATTGGTTCAAATGTGACATTTAGACTAATATCTGTTTCAGATTCCATTAAAAATTAATGAGCATGCCACCTAATGACATCAATGGTGAGTTTTTCTTTTTGCCTAAGACTAACATACATGGGTGGCAAATGCATTAATTTTTAACAGAATTTAAAACGAATATTAATCTGAGAGTCATATTGGAACCAATTTATAACATTCAGGGTTCAATGTGGCAAAAATAATATTTTGGAGTACAAAGCAGGAATCATGACATCTTTTAGGGTGTAAAGAGCAAAAATTCTTAAAATTTACTCTTTTTTTTTTGTTTATTGAGTTACTAATTGATGCACACGTGCGTTACATGTGAACAATTTTGATTTATAATTTTGAATCTACGTTAAGTTATCTTTGGCTACTTTTTTTTTACTTTATTGGGCCATCAGTGGAAAATTAGAGTGTTGTTACTACAACAAACTAATAAGTGAATATAAAAATATAAGAAAGGTTAGAGCATTGCTTTGAGATAGGGAGGGAGGCAACAAAATAAAGCTTGAATAACTCGGGAATAAGTGAATGATGGATAAAATTGTATTGTTCAAATTTACTTATTAAATCTTGTACTGTGTTAAAATCTTATGCATTTAATATTTTGTGGAGTTAATGGACCCCAGTAATCCAATCATCTGTATTGATTCGGGATACAAAATTTGATAAATAATTTGATTTGCATAGTGTTGCTCTTGAATGGTTGCACAATGGATTGATTTAAAAAACAAAGCTTCGGTATGCTTTGTCTGTCAAAACTAAGCCAACGATTACACTGGTGCATTNAGCTTGGATTCTAGGTTGAGAATTTGTTTAGGTAGATGCATTAACTGTCCTGTGATTCTCTAATGCATTAACTGTCCTATGAGCTTGGATTCTAGTTTGAGAATTGGTTGGTTGGTTGTTTTGTGGAGTTAATAAATCCCTCATAAATTATGCATTAAAAAATAGTTTGTCCACTTGCAGTCATACCTAATGACACTTGGGGCACTGATTAATAGATTATCAATTGCTTTGATTAATTCACTAAATATATTTGATTCTACTATCAGTTTAAATACTTCCCTTACAAAAAATAAAATGCAAAACCTGAGATTCTGATCATTTTAATTCAATGAAAGGACAAAAGATGCAAATGCACTGGTCCAAAATAAAACAATAGGCTTGCATTTTATGTATGATAATTGTGATTGGAACTTTTTCAAACCAAAACATTTTGTAGCCATGCCAACCTTAAACAAATAGTAATTATGATTAACGATAATCAACAAAGGTTAGAATCACCCAGCTGAATTATGTGATCTATTTCTATTTGGCACTGGAAGGGCTGATGTGGTGCAGGGGCATGAACACCACTAGCTCAAACCTCTGTCAAATTAGCCTTCTCATTTATGTTTGGTGTTGTTCCTTCCCACAGCTTTGTCAGCTCCTTTCTCATCCAAGATATGACGATTGCAGGTCCCAAAGTAGAGGGTACCTATATTCAATGGATAATGAACAGAAAAATCAGGGGCAAAGATGGTGGAATGGTGCTAGACCTAAACAAAAATAATGACAAGAATTAAGTAAAAGAAAATGATTACATTCAAATCAAAGAAACGCCTTTCACATTTATAGCATGCTTCAAAATCAATGACCCGATTTCTCAGGTTCCCAAGCATGCCCCCATTTTCCTAACGAGTACATAGATGAATTAGAAGAGATCTATGCAACGATTTTTAATTCCACCTAAAATTCCAAAAATGTGGAAGCAACAAGTCTCGAGAATTTTATTTTTAAATGGCAGAATCAGAAGTTAATAACTCCTTTTTTTTCTTTCTGAAAAAAACACTCTTTCTCACTCTCACAAGACTATGCACACGAAATGAAGATAGATCTGGACTGAAATGACGAGTAAGAATTAATGCAGATTCATACTGGAGATAACAATATTACAATTTAATTTCATCATACCAGATATAAAAGTGTTGGTTGAGGCGTGAGTGTCAAAATGCCAGCTCCTAAAGCAGTTACCAGTCCAATTGCATATCCAGAAGGAGCATACCAAATGTATTTGTACCCGTTAGAAGAAGGAATATCCAATAATTCAAAGAATCCTTGCTCCTTCTGTGATCAAAAGAGAGAACTAATGCCAGAAGCATAGAAGGAATGGCCTGCATAACCAACACAATACAATTACAAAAGCTAAGAAGTTTGTCATCAGCTTCATCAATTGAGCAGAACTCACACAATGAGCACAAGAATCAAACGGTTATGTCCTCAGCCAAATTCACATAGATTACCTGATACATAATATATATACCAAGTACTGACTAATAAACCAATTTCATCTCTATTCAACTCAAGAATGCATTTGTGTCCATTATCTGCAATTGGCTTCTAAATCCTGTTGTCATTGTACACTATCTTGGGTTCATGTTTTGAATATAAGAGTGTTTAGGCAGCACTAAACAGCTAAAAATTAAGAATCTGCATGTGAAGCAAGCCAAATACGTGCAGAAGAAATCAGTTGTTCTATACCGGAGAATACAAGTATACAACTCACCAGCAATCAATATGCAGTAAGGTCCCCAAAAGCATGTACTACACTTGTTAGATGGTAAAAAGATAGAGTGAAAATATATGTGGTCCAAATAAACTAAAAACAACATATCTAGTATGAATAAAAATATTATAGTTGCAATTATTGTTGTTCTGTTCAAAGCATGCAAGATCAGTGGATCAAGTTTTGATCTAACATAGCATATACACTGCTAGTTTTGTTAGGCTAGTTAAGAGTCATACAAAGGACAAAAAAAAAATATTCAACTTCAAAAAAAAAAACTTGGACACATATTCACAAAATATAAGTATATTTTAGGTAAATTTTATAGTAGTATAGATATAGATTAATGGCTAAGACCATTTAGCAATCAATTGTTTCATGTGATAGTTGGAGCATGCTTTGCCTTCATCCATTGGGTCTATATTCCAAGAGGGACCCCATAAACCACCAAAATCAGCTTTCTCACTATTCATTAGTACCCATCATGAGTTCCAAAAGGCCCCAAAAATATTTCATTTTCATTCCTTTGCCATAATCCACACATATTCCCTCTTACCATTAAAGGAGTTGATACCGAGAATTTCCAACAAGACTTCCCGAAAATTTCCAACAGCCAAACACTTCTAAGTTCTGAAGCAGCCCACTGTCAAGCACTTTTCGCCCATAAAACCTGCAGGAAAACTTGCCTGTCACTGAAATTTCAGTCTTTTTAAGTTTCTAAAAGTTGGTGGAAACTAAGGTCCAATCGTTTAATATGAATTCACCTGACTTAATTTAACAGGGAAAAACTTGCTTCCAGATATTCATAATTGCGATTAATCAAAATTTAACTCTAAGTTTCCTTCCACAAAAAAAAAAAAAAAATCATGAATCCATAGCCTCAAAAAATAAATAGAAGTATTGATATTTTAAACAAATTTCTTTATTTTCCTTCCAAATATTCATACTTATGAAACCGTAAGATTTGTCAAAATTCCAAATCACATGTCAAAAAGATCTCGCATCCTAACTTAAATCCTACCATGAGTTTAATCCACCGCCGTGAATCTAATGAGAAAATATACCCCTTTAAAATCCAAATACCTCTCCTCCTCATCCTTCTCTTTGGTACTCTAAGAACTGACTTAGTAATACAGTAACACTTGGCACCTATCATCTATAGCTTTCAATAAAAACACCTATCGCACCAACTCTTACTTCTACCGACCATTGTTCTTTAATTATTCCCAATATCTACATATACACTTGTGGTGTAGTATTTTAAGAAACCGTGTATTTAAAACTCAAGTAGTGCTATTTCTTCGTAATCAAGCTCATACCAACATTTACGTGTCTAGAGTCTTCAACATTCCTTCCTAATCATCTAATTCTAGGCCTTAAATCCTACAAGCATTTCAATATTTCAAGGCCCACCATGAGCATAACAATGGGCAACAAAAATATTGTATCTTCTAGTGCTGGCTGAAATTATCATCTAGCCAATTGAATACTACTTCATCAGCTATTTAAAAGGTCCTACAGTCTGAGAATGGTCAGATAAAGAAGAACACAGGACACAAATATTGCTTCATCAGTTTAAACTCTTACTTATTTGTTAATATATTTTTGTTCATACTAATTTACTATCATAGTCTAAGATTTTAGTCTCGACTCCAATATTGAATCAGAGAGAGAGAGAGAGAGTCCAACCACAAAACCAACGTTCATTGTTTGATACATTGCCTGAATGTTCTATATATTTTCTTTTTAACTATCACTCTTTCACCTTTTTTTTTTGTTTTTTTGATAGGAAGCACAATTTTACTAAGAAATAAAGGATAGTCCAGTCATCCCAACGTTGTCAAAGAGTTGGGGGAATTAAACAGAGAAGTCAGCTTCAGACCATTTGTTCTTTTGTGTACAAGATGCTAAATTTTATTAACATTGGTTTGATGGGCAACAAAAAGGAATCATGTGTAGCACCCAAAGGATACACCTCCACATAATCTCTAATTAGGTATTATATATACGTACAATCACACACAATATAGATCTAGAGAGATAAGAGTAAGAAGAATTACATAGGTTTTTGTGAAGTAATTGCACACCCACTCATTCCATGTGTCAACAATTCAATTTGGAGAGAAATTCAATCATTAAATACTTGAACGAATTCAATGTACAACGAGTGAGTACCTTTTTTAGCAGCACATTATTGGTTCCGTGATGTCAATACACAAGGTGTGTTTGTGACTAATTTTCTTTGTGAAAGATCAATTTTGCCAGTATCCATTATGATGTTGAATTTAAAATCTAGAATGTAGTTGCAGAAAAAAAAACCTTATAAGAGATATCAGTGAAAGAACTATACCAGGAAATAGATGGCTAGTTCGGCGATGGGGTGTCTGCTTGCAATGCAGCTTCTGAAAACGCCTATACTGAATCAAATTCTAATTTCGAGTGTTGGAATTGAGGGGTTCAAATCAATTACTGATATAGGGCATTGAAACTTCATACATTAAGACCCAGAATGCATACAGTCACAAGGTGCAAGGGCAACATACATTGAGATACAGTAGAGAGGTACTTGAATGCATGGAGTAACCCATGCTGAGAGCGGCAGAGAGAGGGAGAGAGAGAGAGGGGCACATCGAGTGTTTCTGAGAGACGAAAAGAAGACAGAAAGTAGTTTATTTAGAGATGAGAACATCAAGGGTTTGTGAGTGAGGAAAAAGAGAGAGAGAAATGAATTTATTTGGAGTGGGCATTTTTTTTTTTTGAGGAAATGATTGCAGAATGCTCATGTTGGACGCTTCAGATTCTAAACCGAAGACAAATTCACTAATTTGACTAACAATTGTAATTATTTAATATATTTAACCGACGGTAAGTAAATTAGTGAGGGTAAGTAGATATAGATATAACTAAAAGGATAATGTGTTAGAGGGTAAAAATGAAAAACAAATATTTTTCATGTATGCTAATATTTTAAAGTACTAGTAATGAAAAATTTTAGATCATTAATTTGTTATTAAATTTATTAAAAATATGAAATTTATTTTAAAAGTAAATTAAGAATTAAAATACCAAGAAAAAAAGGCGCTTAACCTTTTAATTTTTCAATTGTATTTGTTAATTAGTTAACTTCCAATTAAATAATCGNAGAGAGAGAGAGAGAGAGAGAGAGTCCAACTACAAAAACCAACGTTCTTTGTTTGATACATTGCCTGAATGTTCTATATATTTTCTTTTTAAAACATCACTCTTTCACCCTTTTTTTTGTTTTTTTTTTATAGGAAGCACAATTTTACTAAGAAATAAAGGATAGCCCACTCATCCCAACGTTGTNAAAACATCACTCTTTCACCCTTTTTTTTGTTTTTTTTTTATAGGAAGCACAATTTTACTAAGAAATAAAGGATAGCCCACTCATCCCAACGTTGTCAAAGAATTGGGGGTAGTAAACAGAGAAGTCAGCTTCAGACCATTTGTTCTTTTTACAAGATGCTAAATTTTATTAACATTGGTTTGATGGGCAATAAAAAGGAATCAAGTGTAGCAACNGTCAAAGAATTGGGGGTAGTAAACAGAGAAGTCAGCTTCAGACCATTTGTTCTTTTGTGTACAAGATGCTAAATTTTATTAACATTGGTTTGATGGGCAATAAAAAGGAATCAAGTGTAGCAACCAAAGAATACACCTCCACATAATCTCTAATCAGGTATTATATATACGCACAATCACACACAATATAGATCTAGAGAGATAAGAGTAAGAAAAGTTAGAAAGTTTTCCGTGAAGTAATTGCACACCCACTCATTCCATGTGTCAACAACTCAATTTGGAGAGAAATTCAATCATTAAATACTTGAACGAATTCAGTGTACAATGAATGAGTACCTTTTTGAGCAGCACGTTATTGGTGCCATGATGCCAATACACAAGGTATGTTTGCGACTAANAACTCAATTTGGAGAGAAATTCAATCATTAAATACTTGAACGAATTCAGTGTACAAATGAGTGAGTACCTTTTTGAGCAGCACATTATTGGTTCCATGATGCCAATACACAAGGTGTGTTTGCGACTGATTTTCTCTGCGAAAGATCAATTTTGTCGGTGACCATTATGATGTTAATTTAAAATCTGGGATGCAGTTGCAGGGAAAAAAAAACCTTATAAGAGATATCAGTGGAAGAACTATACCAGGAAATAGACGGCTGGTTCGGCGATGGGGTGTCTGCTTGCAATGCAGCGTGTGAAAACATCTATACTGATTCAAATTCGAATTTCGAGTGACNTGCAGGGAAAAAAAAACCTTATAAGAGATATCAGTGGAAGAACTATACCAGGAAATCGACGGCTGGTTCGGCGATGGGGTGTCTGCTTGCAATGCAGCGTGTGAAAACGTCTATACTGATTCAAATTCGAATTTCGAGAGCCAAAATTGCGGGATTCAAATAAATTATTGATATAGGGCATTGCAACTTCATACATTAAGACCCAGAATGCATACAGCCACAAGGTGCAAGGGGCAGCAGACGTTGAGATACCGTAGAGAGGTACTTGAATGCGTGGAGTAACCATGCTCTGAGAGAGAGAGAGAGAGAGAGAGAGAGAGAGAGAGAGAGAGGAGAGAAGGTTAAACAAATGTCATTTATGATTTTATTTCAATAAATATTTAAATAAATGTCAAAACTCATACCCATACCCAAACAAAACTCAAAGAATTCAAATCCAGATCCAGCAGCCAACCCAAACCCAAAA